TGAGGTACCACAATACATCTGTTAGAATGGCTATCAAAAACAAAAACAACAACAACAAAAAACAACAATAACAACAACAGCAACAACAAAAGCCTACCAAAAAACTGATAATTCAAAATTCTGACTGAGGTACAGAGCCAACTGTAACTCTCATACATGGCTGATAGGAATGAATTGGCATGTCTACTCCGGAAAACAGTTTAATGGTTTCTTATGAAGTTAAACAAATGACTTAGCACATGTCCCAGCAATTCCATTCCTGGATATTTGCCCAAGAGACATTAAAGTATACATTCACACAAAACTTGTATGTGAATGTTATGATAGCTTTATTAACAATTGCCCAAAACTGGAAACAATCAACTTGTCCTTTAATATGTGAATATTAGTGGTACATCCTTGCAATTGAATACTACTCAGCAATAATGTTGAACTATTGATTAATTTGTCAACATGGATAAACCATGATTGCATTTTTCTAAAAATTCTAAACCCTGAGAAAGATGTAGCTCAAAACCTGTAATGGCTTCCTGTTGGACACAGAATAAAATCAAAGCCTTACAATGTTTATCTCCTCTACTCCCACTAGAATATAAATTCCATAGGTACAAGGATGCTTATGTTTGGTCATTTATTTTAGTTGGCTGAAGAAAGTAGATGTTAATACTACTGGTTTACGGATGAAGAAACAACTCAAAAGTTAAATTAGTTGGTAATATAAAAATAGAATTTGAACACAAGTCTTTCTAACTCCTACACTTTCCATGCCATCACACTGCTTTCTAATACCTATGGTTTGGCATGATTTCAGAATGAATCCATGGTCCTCAGCTCTGACCTGCAGGGTTTGATCAACTAGGAAGCTTTAAAATTCTGTTCTGGTTGGGGCGCCTGGGTGGCGCAGTCGGTTAAGCGTCCGACTTCATCCAGGTCACGATCTCGCGGTCCGTGAGTTCGAGCCCCGCGTCAGGCTCTGGGCTGATGGCTCAGAGCCTGGAGCCTGTTTCCGATTCTGTGTCTCCCTCTCTCTCTGTCCCTCCCCCGTTCATGCTCTGTCTCTCTCTATCCCAAAAATAAATAAACGTTGGAAAAAAAAAATTAAAAAAAAATAAAATAAATAAAATTCTGTTCTGGCCTTGTGCTCCCTAGACCACTTGAAATCACCTCTTGAGGTGATTCTGATGCATAGTGACAAATGAAAATAACTACAGTTTAATAGTGCTTGTTGAATGGTGAATGAACAGTTGATAGCTTAATATATTATTTGTCCACGTGGTTTTTGTCTGCTGTAGTATATTGACTTTTCCTGGCTTTTTTTCTCCTATCCTTATTTCTTTTTTCTTTTTCTTTTTTACCTTGTCCTTTGAAAGTTCTCTTAGAGTCAGTTCTTAAACCATCCTCTCCTTCTCTGTAAGTATTATTGCAATGACAATCCATTTCTCTGGGTGTAGAGCTTTCTCGAATCTTCTTTGAGGTACATCTCTCAACCTAGAGTGGAATGAGGTTGGGACTTACTGTTTGAATAAACTTTCTATTTGTTTCTATTCTGGCTAAAGAGACGTTTAGTTGTAGATTTACAATTGTTATTCTTATCAATATGGCAGACAGTTGAAGAAAGATGAATTGGGGGTAGATGGTGAATGAATGTGTTTGTGTGTGTATGTATGTAATGGGTTTTCTTCTAGGTAAGTGAAGAATGGAAGCCAATTACTTCATTTAGGTCAACAATTTTAATCTGTAATTATGACTTTAAAAATAATTTACTTGTGTGGAAACAGATAAGAGAAAGTTATTTCTGAAGAACTTCATATTCTATAAAAGACTTCTGGTAATAGTTTATTAATTTAAGTGCCCTTGAATTTTTGTTGCAGATTATTAACCTATGAAAACAGAAGTTGAGAGACAAAGATTTAAAGCAAGAGATATAGAGCTCCTCACAGTTAAATTAATCAGGAATTGGAGAAAGCTTTCTAGAGTCCATTGATAGTCTATATTTTTCTTACTTTTTTCATTAAATACTTATCAGATGCTGTATTCTACCACTGACAGTTGAAACTTTGTATAGATTTTCCTGTAAAACTTAAAACCCCCAAATAAGGAATTATTTTCACCTCTTTGGTAATCTATCACCTGCTTCATGAAACTCTATACATAAATTTATCTTGGAGTTGGGAACATATTATTTAAGAGTTTGATTCAGAGGAAACAGTCACTTCAGGTTATACTAGCTGTGGCTATGAAAAAGTTAAAGGACACATCTGGTAAATTTCTAGATAAGACATGAGAATAATCTGAGCTAATGGAGCTATGAATTTTAAGTGACGCATTTCCTGCTGACTTTCAGGTTTATTGAACTCAAATTAAAAAAATGAAACAGACCTTAAAATAACTGAGAACCACAAAAAGATTTAGAGATGCCATTATGCTTTTCACCATGAGTGACAGTAATGTTCAGTGCACATTTAGAGAATTATTGTTTTTTTTTAAGTATCCTGTTATTTCAAATAATTACTCCAAGATAACATTGCTTTCTTAGATATTTCTTTTTTTCATATCTTGGATAGAATTTACTTTTCTTATAGAATATTAGCTAAAGTATAATGTAAATCAAAGAAAATATGTTGTTTATTAATCTAATCCAAACTCCAAAAATGTTTATAATTTGAGCTACATTCTAACAGGGAAGAAAGGTAAGACTAAACAACTGTATGTTTTCAAATCCTTTACGTAAGACGCTTAGAATCTACATGATATATTTTATATTTGGGTATAGATTGAAATATATAGTAAACTGAATGGAGTTCTCATTAAAAATAATAAATCCTTAAAGTGCTTGAAGCAATACGACAAAACACAAATTATTTCACTGAGAATAAACACATGGCTCCTAGATTTTATGAAAAACAAAAGAAAAAAATACTAGGTGTCCCTGAAAAATCTCCAAAGTGTCTATAGTATATTACGATAAGTAGAAGACTGTCTTTGGGAGGGATTTTCTTTATTCTAGATGAAATAATAAAAGAGTAGTATGTTAGTCTAAAGTTAGTTCATCAACCCTCTGGAAAATTAAATGAAAATTTTTTAATTATGTAGTGTGATCCAGTTTATGTATATAAATATTTATAGTGTATATGTTATGCATAAGACACATTTGCATACATTATAAATAGGGTAGTTATATATCAAAATGCTAATTGTGGTTATCTTCCAGTTATCTTTTGGTTTTCTTTATTCATCCTACTATGCGTATGTATTTGCATATTTAAAGTAAAAATGTCAATAACAAAGAGCCCTTAAAAGACTCAAATGGTGACTTCATTAAGTATAGATGTGTGCCAGTGCTGCTATAGTCAGTAGTCAACACCTGTCTCTAAAATACGTTTAGTACATGTCTTATCCTGCCTGTTCACCTTCATCTACATTCTCAGATGTAACCATTTGCCTAGACGGAGTTAGGAGTTTTTTTACAGTAGTGTGTGCACATTGAAGTCACCCAAGGAAGCTGAAATACCAGTGCCTGTGTGCCACCCCCTAGAAACTGATTTAATTAGTCTGGAGTGTAGCTTGGCTGTTGGGACCCTGAGGTTCTCCATGTTATTCAATGTATAGCCAAGGTGGAGAGCCTCTGTTTTGTAGCAAGCTTTTAAAATAACTCATTTGTTTTTTAGTCTGTTAATTTGTATTATGTTGAAACTGTTACTACCCTATATAAAACTTGTATTGAACAAGTACATATTGTTTTCAAATTTTTTTAAAAGCTATGTTTTAATGTCCAGCCTGCCGCTCACTGAGTTAATGGGTAACATGATGGACTCTGTATTCTGCCTCTAATTTTTCTCCTTCCAGTCTATCTTCTACGCTGTCCCAATGGTTAATTTTCTAAAGCATAAAATAATTGTATCACTGCCATGCATAAAAGCCTTTAATTACCCATTCTTTACAGATTAAAGTAGAAGTTTCTTAGTTGGCCCCAACCTATTTTCATTTTTTATCTTCTGTGAATTCAATACTAGATACCCTCAACTCCATCTATACTGATCGTTCTTTGAAGAATCCTTTTATTTCATACCTGCCTTCACATAGCTATTTCCTTTATCACTAATTTTGATCATAGTTCAAGAATAGATTCAGAAACATTTGTTGGAGGAGCTCCTGGTTGGCTCAGTCCGTTAAGCATCCAGCTCTTGATTTTAGGTCAGGTTATGATCTCTCACACATTGTGTGTTTGCACCAGTCTCTGTGCTGATAGCACGGAGCCTGCTTGGGATTTTCTCTCCTCTCTTCTCTCCTTCTCTCCTCTCCTTTCCTCTCCTCTCCTTTCCTCTCCTCTCCTCTCCTCTCCTCTCTCCTGGCCCTCCTCCCTCCCTCCACTCTTCCTTTCCTCACTCCTCCTCCTCGCTGGCACCATATATATATATATATATATATATATATCTCAAAATAAATAACTGAAAGAAAGGAAGGATGGAAGGAAGGAAGATTTATTGGAATGGAGCAAAACTAGCATTTATTGAGCATGCTAGCCAAGTACTGTGTGTTTTTTTTATTATAACTTAACACCTATTCTGAAGTTCATGTATGAGCAAAATTTCCTACATTTTTTTACTCTCCCAAAAATTGGCCGAGTCATCTTATACATAATTTATACAGAGATTTAAGTGTATGCAATCATAAAATTCAGTCAAGTTATTTCCTGCCTATGTGAAGAGGAAAATTGAAAGTCTCATATATGTAGATAACCTTCATAGTACAATAACCTTCATAGTACAAAGTGCAGCCTTAAAGTTTTTGTGCGGGTAAATGGTACAGTTTAACAAGAAGTTAATTTGAGCAATGTTAAAAATTTGAGTTTTTTTGGCTGTTAAGATGAATTTGGCAAAATGTAATTTATTTTGTTCTCTTGTATATGCTTCCTGTGTTTTATTAGTGTTCCTAATTGTGTTATTGTTTTTTTAGAGTACTGCTTCACAATCTAATTTGATAATTTTTTCTTCCATTAGAATGTGAAACATGTTGCAGAAACATTTAAGAAGTGGCTGAACGGGGAAGGAAAAAAGTGCCACTGCCTATCAAAAAAAAACAAAAGAAAACATGGGAAATACAACCACCAAATTCCGTAAAGCACTTATCAATGGTGATGAAAACCTGGCCTGCCAAATATATGAAAACAACCCTCAACTAAAAGAATCCCTTGATCCAAATATATCTTATGGAGAGCCCTACCAGCACAATACTCCGTTACACTATGCTGCTAGACATGGAATGAATAGAATACTAGGGTAAGTAATACTGTAAACCAATTAATAATAAATTAGTGAAAGGGAAAAAAAATCCTTGATCTTTGAAAATATATATGTGCATATGTGCATGTTTTATGGTATTCTAATAAACTTTTAAAACTGATAATGCTAAAGTTATTATGATTTTTTTATCATGCCTAAATTAGACCAGAAATTCTAATAGTGAGGTTGGTTCACATATTCTTGTGGCTGTAAATTTATTTAGATCCTCAGTATGTTTCATGGCATGATATCTTGGTAATAATTTAGTGTTTAATTTATAGCATTTCAATTCTAGAAAAGTACTTATCAGCTGTCAAAAAATGGTGCCTACGGCAAAGTTATAAGCTCTGATTAGCTAGTTTAAGGTGACAGAACAGATGCATTTGCCTTATCTAGTCATGATCGTATTTGAGTATGATCGTATTTTATATGTGCTAGCTTATAAAATGAAAGACGCAGAGGATGATAGTTCTAAAACAAATTTAGTGTTTTTAGAAGTAGATATGTAGCTAGAGAAGTCTGATGCTAGAAAACTAAAGAGACGCTTCTTTGCTTACATAGTGAAATACAGTCCATAAAGCAGTATTCAAAGCTCTTTAGAACTTGATTAAAAAAAACTTTCAACCTTTTTAATGTATCTTTTAATGCAAATTGTTGTTCACATTAAGCTGCTCCTTTTGGTTTCTCTGAAACATGTCATGTGAGCTGTTTGCCCTGTGCATGCTGCTCTTCTGACAGATCTCCTTCCTTACTCTTCTCAGCTTTCTCTTTCTTATCTCTTATCCTTCCTCCAAGGTCCTGTGCAGGCTTTATCTATCTTAGCCTGTCAAGGGAACCTCAATCTTTTTTTTTTTTTTTTTTTTTTTTTTTTTTTTTTTTCTACTTCTGGGGCTTTTTTTTGTTTGTATGTATTGCTTATTTGGTATATAGTGTATCATTGTACTTTATAATTTGTCTATCTTCTCTCTACCTAAATTACCCTTTTATCTACCTTCCTTCTTTGTACTTTTAGCATCTAGCATAGTATCTTATACAAAGTAAACAACAGTTTTATAAAATCACACAAGAAAATAGTTTTATGGGGCTCCAGGGTGGCTCTGACTTCGGCTCAGGTCATGATCTCATGGTTTCTGAGTTTGAGTCCTGCATGGGGTGAGCTTGAGCCCCGCATGGGGTGAATTCAAGCCCTGCTTCAGGCTCCACACTGATAGTGCATAGGGATTCTCTCTCTCTCTCCCTCTGTCTCTGCCCCTTGCTCACTTGCACCCCCTCTCTCAAAAAAAAAAAAAGAAAAGAAAATATTAACTTTAAAGAAGCCACCTCCAACTCATCTTGTTTGGAATTTTATATTTTTTCTTCCCAAACTGTGTTTTCTCTCTGTTAATGACACTAGTATATTGTGCTGATATGATAATAGCAAATGTATTGAGTGGTTACTATTTTCTAGGCACTATTAACAGTGTCTCCATGCATTATCTCATTTAATCCTTATTACACCTCTGTGAAGTAGTTTGCTGTCTGTATTTTAGAGGTGAGAAAACAGGAACAGAAAGATTAAGCAACTTGTCAGGTCTCTAGCAGCTTGTAAGTGACAAAGCTAATTGCCTAGGCAAATGACTTGTAGGCTTCAGGCTTTTTAACCATTGTGATAGCCTTTTATCTCTCCAGTTAGATAAACCTATGTGTCAGGGCTGCCTAAGCCACTTATTTAGCAAGGCAAGTTACTTCATCACTCTGGGCTTTCGTTCCCTTATCTGTAAAATAGATTGCTATTACATACAGCTGTGGGACAATTTAATTAATGTGTTATACGTCTATCATGCTGCCTAGGATACAATATGTATTCAGTAATGTTATTCTCATGTCTGTAACCCTAAATATCTTCAAATCATCCTTGACTTACTCTTCTCCTTTACCTAACCTGCTGCTGATATGAAGTTCACTAAGTCTTATCTCTGGAATTCATTTCTTTCTATTCCCATTGCCCCAAACTTAGCTCACTCTTATCAACCAGTGCTCCCAATATTGAAATTACCTGATTCCTAAATGTTCTTTTTGCAAATCTTTTCTTGTCGTAATCTCGTGGCCAGATTAATCTTGCTCAATTGTATCCTTTTTAATATTTTTCTGTCATGACAAAACTGTAACAATACCCTATTGTCTGCATTATTCTCTTTGGCTTCCAAAGCTCTTTTGACTCTGCCCTCATTCTACCCAATCTCATTACTCTCTAGCATGCTCTCATCATTGGGACTAGTTGATTGACTTCCTTTGTACTTTCCCCACCTTTAGAAATGCTACCCCCTTCACTTTATTCCTGTTGTTCCTTGATTCTCCAATGTTTTCTTTCTTCTCTAATTCCCTCTCCTTTAAGTCCTAACTTGGTTTCTGCCTTTTTCATTAATTTATCTACAACTACTCTGACCTGCAGTATTTTTTGTTTTCTGAAATTCCTACAACTTAGATTTTAAACCATCTTATTATTAAACTCATTTTCTCCCCTTCATTTTAAAGATTGTAAATACAGTGCTAGACACTTGGTAATGTTCTCAATAGATTAGCTATTGAATGCTTAATCTATTAAAGCTTTCTTTTTTTGAAGTTAAATATTTATATTGAGATTACAGAACTGTTGTATTGCATTAGCTTCCTAACATTGAACACTATAATAATATTTAGTATCAAGTCTTGTTACATGATTAATTAAAACTTGCTTGGAATACTAAACTAAAATATATTTACATATTATTACTAAAATAATGTGTATATTTTAACATAAAAAACAAGTAGCAAAATGTTTTTTAACCGTTTATAGTGTAATTTACAAATACACGTTCTAAAATTGGAAAACACTATTAAGAAAATTATCTAATGTAGTAATTCTTAAGTGTGTTCTGAGGACTCCTGGATCTTGAGACTCTTAGGAGGTACATGTGGTCAAATCTATTTTTGTACTAATGCTAAAGTGTTATTTGCCCTTTTCACTGTGTTGACGTTTGCAGTGAAAGCGCAAAAACTGGAGGCTAAAACTGCTGATGCCTGTAGATGAATTAAAACAGTGGCACCCAACCTTAACTAGCAATCATTGTATTCATTACTGCTAGCCACTTGCTGTTTTTAGAAAAGAAAGGCCAAGCATTTCCCTTAGAAGTGTCCTTGATGAAGCAGTAAAAATTATTATTTTTAATTAATCTCCATCCTTCAGTACACATCTTAATATTCCATGTGGCAGATGGGAAGAGTGCCTGAAGCAGCTCTGCGTACTGAAGTATCATGATAGCTTTGAATAAGAACACTTGTACTGTTGTTTGAGTTGCAAGCTGCAACCACAGCTTTTTTCACGAAACACTATTTTAAACTAATCACAACAAAAATGATGGTTATTCAGACTGAGATACTTGGTTCACATTTTCTTGAAAATGAATTATGTGAGCCTATCAGTTCAAAGAGAAGCTGACAGTATTTGTTGAAAATTATAAAATTTGAGCCTTCAGGTGAATATTCAAATTTAAAAAACTTGTATCACTGTCTTTAGCTTGGCAGCTTCCCAGTACTTAAAGACTTTTATTATAAGATTAGCAGTGTGATAACGTGATTTTTCTTAGTATTGTATGGTGAAAAGTGACAATATCTAGAAGATCTGTATAACTCAGTGAATCAGTATTTTTCAAAAGGTAGTATATGATTTTTTTAAATTATGCATGGGTAAAAGATTTATTCAAAGTGCAAGGTAGACAATAGCTTTTAATGTAACAGAGTACAAAGTCATTGATATGATTTCAGGTTTTACATTACAAATAACCTAAGAAGTGGCCACTTGGTAAATTTCTGGTATTGTATCAAATATGAATATTCACGTTATCTGAAGAGGCATTTTAGAATACTACTTTTCTAACTATATAAAGGCTAGATTTTCTTCATATGCTTTGAACCAAAGTAACATATCACAACAGATAGAATACTATGAGTTTGTCTTCTGTTAGCTAGACATTAAAAAAAATTTATAAACATGTAAAACAATGCCATTCCTCTTGCTTAATTTGTTAAATATTTTTTTTCATTTTAGGATGTTAAGAATGTTTACTGTGTATTGGTTTTTTTATGAATAAATATTTTTAAATATCTTTTTATATATTTTGTAAATATTTATTTATTTTGAGAGAGAGAGGGAGAGAGAGAATCCCAAAGAGGCTTAGGGCTGTCAGCATGGAGCCCAATGCATGGCTTGATCCCATGAACTGTGAGATTGTGACCTGAGCTGAAATTAAGAGTCCAGCACTTGACACTTGGGCATCTGGGTGGCTCAGTCATTAAGCATCTGACCTCATTTCAGGTCATGGTATCACAGTTCATGAGTTCCAATCCCACATCAGGTGAGCACAAGCCCTACTTCGGGTAAAACACAAGCCCTGCTTCTCTCTCTCTCTCTCTGTCTCTGTCTCTTTCTTTCTCTACCACTCTCTGCCCTTTGTGGGACTGCCCCTCATGGGATTCTGTCTCTCTGCCCCTTGCTCACTTGTGCCCTCTCTCTCTCTCTCTCTCTTTCTCAAAAAAAAAAAAAAAAAAAAAAAAAAAAAAAGTTAGACACTCAACCAACTGAGCCACCCAGGTGCCCCAAGAAATTACTCTTCTTAACACTGTCATATAGAATAAAGATAAATAGCATTTACTCATCAATATTAAATAAAATAGCAAGTCTGTTTCAATTATTTGTGGTTAAAAAGCTTCAAATATTTCACTGTATTTAACCTTGTAGACTTTCTGACAAATTGATGGCCATTATTTTCTCATGATGCCTCATTTAATCTGGAGTACCTGTCTGCTGGCTTCAGTATATACCCTAGGCTCAGCTTGGCTAGATTCCTAACCCATAAAATATATATGGATAGACAAAGGTAGATATATTTAGTCAAGGACCTAGCAGCCAGAAAGTAAATAAAGCCTCTATGTAGAATAAGACTTTGGTTTTATCACCATTTCCTTTAGTTTTATGGTACCTGCAACAGCAGGCATAAATTTCCTCTCTTCTTAGAATAATAAGGTTAAAGAAGGGTAGTTTACAGTTTAGGAGCTCCATATCTCTCTGAACCCAAATTCTCTGTATTTACCTTATACCATACCACATTGCCTTCTTCATGAGAAACTAAATCCATATTCATAAATAGCTACTACTTAATATAGCAAAAAGACTGTTAGACTTTGCAGTCATTGTGTCAGTGTGTCCTAGTTGGGATATATAACTTTTTAGTTCTATCTTCTGGAAAGTCATGTATAAAGTGGGAATTATGCTGTTCCTTAGATTTTAGAGAGTAGCCTCTTTTGCTTCTTTGGAAATAAAAGGGGACTATCTTATGGTGTAAATAAAATCTAAGACCTTTATTAGAACATACATTAATATCAAGCTTTGAGAATGGAAAGAGTTTCTAATTGTTGATTTCTGTTTTTTGACTCTTGTATTTTAGGAGTTAAGTTCTTTTAATGAATTAAATGGATTGAAGTTCTCCTCTCCTACCCCTCCTTGCCTGCAAACCCCATAAGGACAGGGACTTAATTTGTTTTCTTCACAATATGCCTAAGTTTTAGAATAATACCTGCCAAGTTACAACTGCTCAATAAATACTTGTTGCATGAAAGAGAAGGTTTAAAAGGAACTGAAGAGAATATATACATGTTAGCGACTGGAAGAATAAGAATGTTAATGGCAAGAAATTGAGGCCCTGGCAGGGCTGACTATTATTTTGGAGGGAGATCAGTTGAATATGAGATGATAGTGGAATATGCAGAAGAAAGGAGCCTATAAAGAGTTAGAATATGGTCTAGAGGTCAGACAAGAAATCAGACAGGATGATAGAGCATTAACAAATATCACAAAAGTAATAATAGAAGCCCTTTAAGAGAACCATGATTCCAGGGCACCTGGGTGGCTCAGTTGGTTAAGCGTTCAGCTCTTGATTTCAGCTCCAGTCATGATCTCACGGTTCCTGAGATCAAGCCCCGTATTGGGCTCCATGGAGCTTGCTTGGGATTCTCTCCTTCTCTCTCTGTCTCTCCCCTCCTTGCACTATGTCTGTCTCAAAATAAATAAATTAATTAAAAAAAAAAAAAACTGTGATTCCACCACCATTGTCTATCATTTGGGTTCTGATAATACTTTACCATTTCAAAACATATTCACAGAAACCATTGAAAAATAGATGGCTTTGAGAACAGATTTGCTCTCTGAAGGAAGAAGGTTATATGAAGAAGAAAATGGATTCAAGAACTGAATTCGCTTCCAATAAGGGGTTAGGAAGTAGAGCTATCATCATGGGTAAAGAGAAGTGCTAAAAAAATGTTTAAGAAAAATTTGATAAAAATAGAGAGGGAAGCAAAGCATAAGAGACTCTTAAAGACAGAGAACAAAATGAGGGCTACTGGAAGAGAGTTGAGTTGGGATGGGCATTAAGGAAAACACTTGTTGGGATGAGCACTGGGTGTTATATGTAAGTGATGAATTCCTGGGTTCTACTCCTGAAACCAGTATTACACTGTATGATAACTAACTTGAGTTTAAATAAATAAATTTAAAAGAAAAAAGAAAAAAGAGATATTTGAGAAGGACAATGATGATGAATTTAGTTCTTGGGAAATTCCTGGTGATGTGATGAGGGCCATTTCAACGCATTGATAAGATTAGAGTCATATTGAAGTGGGGATTCTAAGGCAGGGTCTATATCCTGTTCTTCCTGAAATCCTCAGTACAGTGTCACAGCAGTTTCTTGCTATAATTTTGACAGATGAATTGAATATATATTACTCTTATGATCTAGACTGGTGACACAGCATTGGGGATCTCTCAAGACAGCACCGTAGATCTCTCAAGCCAGCAGTGTAATAGACTGGTCAAGAACATGACATGTAATATAGACTGCCAGGCTCTAATCCCAATTCTGTCATTTTTAAGCTATGTGATCTTGGGCAAGTTACATAATAAATAGCTCATTAACAACTAATACATGGTTCATATCTTCTGACTAGGTAAATCTACTTCTGAAAATTTATCCTAAAGGAAATTACTTATAAGAAATAAATATCTATAGGAACAATGACATTCAACACAGTGTTACTTTAAATAGAAAAACTTTGGCATCACTTAAATGTCTGGTTATAGGAGAAATGGGAAACATAAATCTTAGTATTCTATACAATAAAAAATTATGAAGTCTAGCTATGAATGTTTATACTTCAAACTAGTGCTCGCTTCGGCAGCACATATACTATACCTCAAACTAGAAGAGAATACAGAATTCTTTAAAAAAATCTTTTTTTAAGTTTGTTTATTTTTGAGAGAGACAGAGCACAAGCGGGGGAAGGGTAGAGAGAGAGGGAGACACAGAGTCTGAAGCAGGCTCCAGGCTGTAAGCTGTCGGCACAGAGCCTGATGAGGGGCTTGAACCCACAAACTGTGAGATAATGACCTGAGCCAAAGTCGGATGCCACCAACTGAGCCACCCAGGTGCCCCAAGTATACAGAATAATTCTAACAGTTGTTTTAGGGAGGCAGGAACATGGGTAGTTTTGTTTGTATATATGACCATAATATTGCTTATAAGTTTAAAAAAAAAAAAGGAAAACATACAATATTTTCCCCATGTCAACAATTGATGATAATATGTATTTATAATGGCTGAATTATATAGTGTGATTCTAGTGGATAACTAAAATTAAAATGATATTCTAAAAGTATATTCAAAATTAAAACCTTTTCTAAGAAGCATTTAATTCACAACAAAAAATTCATTTCTTAAAAATTTATTTAGAAAATAAAATTCAGATTCTGTAGGGTTCTGTGTAAGCCACATTTTATCTAGCCTTTCCTATCCCCATTTATAGTTTTAGCACAGAATGCTTATAGAGGTGTGGTACTATGTCTAATAAATTTAAGAACCTTTCCTGAGTAAATACGTATAAAGAAGCTATTTTAATATTTTAACTTCAGAATAATAAACTTTTTTGTTTGATTAATCAGAGTCTGGCAGATTGGATATGAGAACATTTGCAAAATGATCTGCCTCTTCTCTATATTGGGGAGGACCTAGAGATTTTTAATAAGAGAAAGAGATCTCTCTGTATCAACTGACCTCCTTCCAACTTGCATTAAATTTTCCGTGTTGATGAGGACCTGAGGTCTCCTGAATAAACTGAAAGAGAGACTAAATGATATATAGGACCTCTTCTTACTCAGCCTTTTTCTCATAAGAGCTTCCCAGCTTGGCTAACTCATTCAAATTGAAGAGTCCATCCTAGTTCCTTTATGGTTAGTTTTTTCAATCAGACCCATATGTCTAAGCTGAAACTAACCTAAAAGCAACCCAACTGTAACTAGGGGTTAGAGTTTGGCTCTGCTACCCTCCCATTGCTATTCTGGACTTGGGCATAGAAATGCAAATGATATCAGCCCTCCACAGTAAATGTAGGCATTCATCATCAGTTATGGGACTTATATGCCCATTTCATAATGCATTTGTGTGTTTTCTCATATAGGCTGACTATATTGCAGCTGTTTTTCCCACCCTATTTTCCAATATCCTGTTATAGCCACTAAATTGGCTCAGTTATTAATCCTATGATCCTAATACAAAGATGTATCAGGGAAATAGGCATAACTGTCAGGTCTAGGTTTGGCATTAGTTAAGGGAGCTCACCTAGACCTGTCATTGGTAAAGGCTATCACTGTGGAATTAGATCTTGGTCTTCTAGGACTAACCACAACTTATTCTCCTCAAACAGTATTACACTGCACAAATATATATCTTATTCTCTCAAAGGCTAGCCAATGACTATCAAGTAGAAAAATTTTTCCTAGGTCTAAAAATTAGACTTATGCATTACTCGCTGTACTTATATTCATTGCCACCATCCTTACTAAGTAAAGATGTACCTGAGAGAAATAGGGAAGAATAATAAAGAAAAAAAAGTTGCCGTGAAATGTGTAAGAGTGTACCCTAAAGCATCTATGTAATTGACATATTAGTCTATACATGGCCCTTTCTGTTGCTTTCTTTCCTCCTCCCCTTCCTTTTTTCTTGTCTTCCCTTTTTTCTTCACTTCTTCATTTTTCATTCCTTTTCCTCTTCCTATCCCTCTTCTTTTATTAGCCAATACCATAAAGATATTCAGCTCGCTTTCTTTTAGTATTTTGTTCTAGAATGGAGTTTTTATAACTGTAAGAATTAGTCATTTAGCTTATTGTAAAACAGTACTTCAATAGACATTTTATTAACATCTTAGGAATAGAGTTTATCTTTTAAATTTATCTTCTGTGTGTTCTTATTTCAAGATAGAAAGAAACTGGTTTTCATTTTTTCTTTACCATTTTAGGACTTTTCTTTTTGGTAGAGATGGAAATCCAAATAAACGGAATGTGCACAATGAAACATCTATGCATTTGTTGTGTATGGGACCTCAAATTATGATATCTGAAGGAGCCCTTCATCCTCGCTTAGCACGCCCGGCAGAAGATGATTTCAGAAGAGCAGATTGTCTGCAGATGATCTTAAGATGGAAAGGAGCAAAACTTGACCAAGGCGAATATGAGAGAGCAGCTATTGATGCTGTTGATAACAAAAAAAACACACCCCTACACTATGCTGCTGCCTCAGGGATGAAAACCTGTGTAGAGGTAAAACTTTGTTTTCTAATACTCTAAAAGTTGTGTATTTGGTAATACGTAATAATCAGAGCTTGTTTTGCTTAACAGTTACTTTAACTAGTCCTTTTTGTCTGCTTTGTGGTTCTACAAGAATCTGGACCCATTTTAAATAAACTCATTCCCTTATTTTAGGGAAAGATTAAAAACAAATCCATAAACAAGTCTACCTTGGGAATAAAATGGAATCAAGAGCAGTTAAAAATTGGCTAACATCCCAGAAGATAACAGTCATCAATTAAACCCTGTCACTGAGAGCAACAGCTTTAGTAGAGATATGTTCTACTTTTGCGTTGATTTTTAGAAACCAGTTTATACATATTAGCAAGTGTCACTTACAGCTGTATTATCTAGAATTGATCAGTTCCCTAAGCAAGGGATAAATATTAATGAATATATTTATTTCAGTCTTTTAAAAAAACATTTGTAATTTATTTTTGTATTTTTTAAATATTTTGGGGGGTGTGCAGTATGTAAGCTGGGGAGGAGCAGAGAGAATCCCCCTCTCTCAAGCAGGCTCTGTGCCCCAAAACATTTATAATTTAAAATGTGCTGATTTTCTGTTTAATCTTCATTAATGTTAATGTGCTCCTGAAGACTATATTGAATTTGAATTTTTCCATATATATATTTCATATATAACAACAGGCTTAGGTAAAATCAGCCATATAATACAGGATCTTAGCTAAGAAATCATTACTCTTTATAGTATCATCACTACTATACATACAACAGAATGGGTTTTTCTCAGGTATATTCATGTCAATCTGTACATAACTCATAAAAGTTCTTTTGTAGATATATTCAAGTGTGAGTGGGGATCATTATAGATTGGATCACAGAATATCTATGTTACCAAAAATGTAGATCTTTGATGGAAAAGCAATGATCCTAATCAGATTGAAATACATATCTGAAAATTTAGTGTTTCTTTAAATATATATATATATATATATATTTGTATATATATAAGTATATACTTACATATATAAATATATATTTAAATAGATATAAATATAAATATATAAAATATAAATATATATAAATTTGTATATTTAAATATATATTCGTATCTATTTAAATATACATTTTTATATACACTTTATAAATATATACTTCTGATCTTATGTTTTATTTATTGGTATTATTTGTGATACCGGTTAATTTTTTAGAATCTTTGGGGCGCCTTGGTTTAGTCGGTTAAGCATCTGACTCTTGATTTCAGCTCAGGTCATCATCTCACGGTTCATGAGGTTGAGCCCAGCACTGGGCTCCATGCTGACAGCACAGAGGCTTCTTGGGGTTCTCTCGTTCCCTCTCTCTCTCTGCCCCTTCCCCACTCACACTCTCTCTCAAAACAAACAAACAAACAAACAAACTTTAAAAAAATCTTTTAGTTAGGAGTGCTGGGTGGCTCAGTCGGTTAAGCATCTGACTTTGGCTCAGGTCATGATCTCCCAGCTTGTGGGTTTGAGCCCCACATTGGATTCTATGGTGACAGCTTGGAGCTTGGAGCCTGCTTTGAATTCTGTGTGTGTGTGTGTGTGTGTGTGTGTCTCTGAAAAATAAATAAAACATTTAAAAACATCAAAAATAAATATAAATAAATAAATAAATCTTTTAGAATCTTTGCTATTTTGTCTCTTAAGATTGTGTCACCTTTGCCCACTAGCAAGTTAGTGACAGTCATTTAACCTGAGACAATTTTTTTAAGCAGTGCTTTCTAACACTGATTTATAGTGTGGTGGAAGGATATCCTAGGATTTGGGGATGGTGGTGCTATCAGTAGAATTCCTGAGACTTGACTTTTTTTTAGTTTATTTAATTTATTTTGAGACAGAGAGCAGAGAGAGAAGAGATAGAGAATCCCAAGCAGGCTCCACACTTTCCACACAGAGCGCAACACGGGACTCAGACCCACGAACTGTGAGATCATGACCTGAGCCAAAACCAAGAGTCTGATGCTTAACTAACTGAGCCATGCAGGTGCCCTGAATTCCTTTTTATACAAACCTTTTTGACTTTTTATACAAACCTTTTTGTGTATTGTTCTGTGCCCACCTCCTATGAAAGAATCTCTGCTACAGTGACTCATCATTATTGATGAGATTGCATATTTCTCAAGTGGGTTAGAGTAGATAATAGCGTATTCTTGATAGTAGTAATAATTCTCTTATTTTGCTGCTTTAATATCTTGCCTCCAAAAATTCCCTAGAAGCATTGCTTTAGTACTTGTTGATTTTGAAGTATGTTTACAATGACATGCTTTTTAAATTGTTCTCCAAAATTGAGTACAGTGTTTTTACCAGTTTTATTTTTTGCTCAGTGAAGGAGATTAGTGCTAGGTTTATTCTGAATTAACAGGCCTGATGATTTGCTTTGTGTGAATGAATGTGTGTGTATGTTTCAACTGTTTGATCTGTCAGCAAATCACATTCATAAACCACACTGTTTGGGGACTATTTTCATTTTTCTGTATTCAGAGGAACTCTTTGCCCAAATGTAAAAATCCAAAAAGAGTCCTATAAATACCTTGGTTGTATTTATTCTTGTTTTCCTCAACATCCAGCGTATCACTTTACCTATATAAAGTTATCTTTAATCTTGTATATATACATGAGTGTACATTTGCCCGGCCTTAGGCCTTGAATGACTTTTGGTAATGCTTACTACTAATTAAACTAGAAGAGTTTCCGTGGGAAGTATAATTAATTTCCAGATGTCTTACTGTGTTTTCTAATAATACTAGTACATAAAACAAATACATTGAAATAAAGAACCTAATAACAATACTTCTTACAGTATTAGTTTATAGTTATCTTCATGTAGTATCATACTCCTTGAGTTCAAAGAGTGTTATCAGGTATTAATTTTTTCGTAAAGCTAAAGGACTTAGTCTTCACAGTGATTATCTGTAGTACCTTGAGTGGGTCACTAAATCTCTTTGAGGTTATCAGTTCCAACCATCCAGGAGCAAATTATCACCATTACCTCAAAAGACCCCTTTTAGCACTAATTTTCTGTTGATCTTTGATTGCTATAAAATAGACCCCATTTTCAGTGTATAGCCTTTAAGGCCAAATTGATTATTTGATTGCATAGTTAAGGCCAAGCTTTTTTTTTGTTTTACTCATTTCTATGAAAATATACCTTCTCTAATTCTTTAAAATGTTTTTCTATGTTTATTTAAAGACAGAGTTGATGAACTCATCAGGTGATAATTTCTTATGTACATTTAATAATTAAAAAGGTTCGTTTTTCTTTATGTTTTTTTTGGCTCATTATTTCAAACCATAAAAATGAAAGATTAACTTTAAAACTTCCCCTTCTTCTTGTAATAATTGTGTTGCATAGTAAGCTAAAGGTACAAAACACACACACACGCAACATAACATAAGAAAAAACTCTTAATCATAGAGTTCTTCTGGGAACTTCCAAGTGTGGCGGTATCAGTGGCTCTATATAAGATACCGCAACCGAGTGTGTAGTTCTCCTGCTATACTGCTGCTGAGTTGACTTCCTTGTATTGATATTCCAAGAGTCTGTCAAATTCAACATTTCAAAAACTGTACTTAGTCGTTTCTACCCTCTAGCTCCTCCTCATGACTGCCTTCTATTAGTGATGCCATCAGTATCCCTATATCTAATCTTGATACCTGAATTTACCTTGGACTGGTTTTTGGTTTTGTTTTTGTTTTTTTGCATCAAACTCATGCCACTCATTTGCAGAATAGAGCTCTTCCTTTTCTCTTTTGGCCAGCCTCCTTTTTAATCTCTGTTGACTACTCTGTAACCAGGTGCTTATATTGAATCCTCATTTTGGTGTATTTATCAAAACTTCGTTAAGTAGGAAAATCTGGAGTTTCACAAATGATTCAAACTCATTTAGGAGATAAAAGTAACAGAGAGGAGTGGGCTGCAATTGTTTGAAAGTTGAAAATGCTTGTATGTTAAACATATATAAGGACAAATGATAAATGAAGGCCCTCTAATTCTAATTTTTTTATATTTCAAAGAATTTTTCCAGGGGTCAGCAAACTTTTCTGTGAAAGCCAAATAGTAAATATTTTAGGCAACTGCTCAACTCAGCCATTGTAGCCTGAAAGCAGCCATAGACAATATGTAAACAAATGAGCATGGCAGTGTTCGGTAAAACTTTGTTTATGGACACTCCCACTTGACTTTCTTATGATTTCCACATATAATGAAATATTCTTTTGAGTTTTCATTCAACCATTTAAAAATGTAAGAACAGTTTCTAGTTCATGGACTGTATAGGAACAGACAACAGGCTGAATTTGGCTCACAGACGGTTTTGCCTTTGACCCCTATATTATGCACAGAATTGGAAAAGGGAAGCAAAGATGACTCCACACTTCACAAGCTTATTTTAAATATATAAAATAACACACTTTCAATGTGTAGCAAGTCCTATATGCTTTAATTATACAAATAATTTTTAAAATACTATGTAATGGATACCCAGTACCCAAAAATGGAACTCCAATAAAATATAAATCTTAAAAGAATTTATTTAATACAGTGAATAATGCATTTTTTCTTAGTTGCTGAGTTTTTGTTTTTCTATTTCTTTAGAATAGAGATGGGCTTTGGAGACGAATGATGGGTTAGTTCTATTAGCATGCCCCAATTAAAAGCCCAGTGATCTTTCTCCTCTTGGCAGACTTCCCTAAGAGTCAGCCTAGTCATTAAGCCTCATTTTATTTGTATTAGTGCTTTTCCTGTCATAGTCATTCGATAAATAGTTGATGTGCAGAGGTTATTGGTTTTGATAGTGCTTCATTCTTTGTGAAAAGTGTGTTTTTAAATGAGCATTATCTTGGGTATTTCCTGTGCACCCCTGTCCTACTTGCTTATTCAAAGCTTTAAGTATGGATGCTTATTGTTAGATCAAATAGAGGTCACTAGAAAACCAAAGGTGGTAAATCACTTTTCTCTTTACAGCCATAAGG